CCATGCGTCCATGCGTCCATGCGTCCATGCGTCCATGCGTCCATGCGTCCATGCGTCCATGCGTCCATGAGTCCATGCTTTTTCAAAATCTAGATGTGATCAATATTCTATGTCATCAACAGAAAAGGCAGTGTAATAGCCACCTTTAGCATCAGCTATGCAGCATTGGGCTCCATTCAAATCCTGAAGATACAAGAACATGTCACGATGACTGGAAAAATATCGACAATTCCGGCAAAGATTCTGAATATTTCATCAGATAAAGGTAAGAGCAGATACAATGGAACTGGCAAATTATAAGAATTTATTTTAAATGAAGTTTTGATTCAAACACTTACAAGTACTGCTTGTGAATAAAGTAATACATGTTTCTGGACTCTTTTCTGGACTTTTTTTCAGTCCCAAATGCTCCTACAATAACGTCTGCGTCAAGTTTTAATTCCACATCTATTCAACTCCACTGGACAAGTATTTCAGATGCAGGAGGCATGGGTTATCTTGTCTACTACAAACAAGCTGGCAGCAGATTTGATCCAGTTCAGTTCAAGTCTGTAATGCTTGCAGTCACGCAAACAGTTATAAGCGGTCTTCGGGAATTCACAGGCTATACATTTCGTGTCCTGGCTTCTTCCAGTAATGGAAATGGAGTAGCAAGTGAACCTGTTACGATATCCACAGATGAAGATGGTGAGTAAGGTGGTTGATCATAATAACAGTTATATTCAACGCCCAAAGCATATATAGGCCTAACTCACTGGACATGTTTTCACATTTAGTTTCAGGGTTATTTCCTCAAGTGTTATTTCTGTACCATTAATATGTTAATTTGGATGGATTGACAAATGATAACTTATTTCTATAAGAAATGATGTAATGTTCTGACATGTGAAAATCATGACACCTAAATGGATAATAATAATAATAATAATAATAATAATAATAACGATAATAATGATAATAATAATAATTACAATAATAATAATAATAATAATAATAACAACCAAATTTATTTATAGGATATAAGGATTTTGCTTATTTTCATTTGCCTATACCATTCATAATTATAACTCTAAGCATTTCGCTTCTTTTCTAGTTCCTTCCGTACCACCAAGCAATCTTAAACTTATCGTGTACAGCTCTACACGAATCAGTCTGTTGTGGGACGCAATCAAAGACAGCCAGACCAATGGCGTACTGCTTGGGTATAACGTATCATTGACATGGCGTGACAAGATGGATAACAGGCTACGTGGAAGTACTAGAGCTGTCCAACCAACTGGCGGCTCGGTCATACTTACACTGAAATATTTGCTTAAATTCACAATTTACTCATTAAAAGTATGCGGATTTACGTCAAAAGGATGTGGACCCTGGAGTAATGAAGTACACGCAAGTACTCTAAGAGATGGTGTGTTGAATGAAGTTTAATAATTTAGATCAATTCTAATTTTAAACATTATCCCCTCTGTCGTAATATTATTCCAAGGTTAGCGTGCGATTGCATAGGCAATACTAATGGGCTTCAAAGAATGTACATGAGATGACGTTATAACTTTGTGAAGGGAATTAGAATAACTGGAGAAAGCCAGAAAAAAAATTCTATATGGCACTGACGATGCACGTGCATTTCACACCTCCAGTGTTTTACATACAGTATTTTTCAATTATATTTAAAATAGCTCTCTTTTTCACCCAAATTATTGTAGTTCCCAGTCAACCTCCAAGTAACATCACTTATAAAAACTTTACTTCAACATCTTCTGCAACAATCCACTGGGACACAATCCCTCTCGGCCACCTCAACGGCATTCTTCAAGGCTACCAAGTAACCTACAAACAAATAATGCAGTCAGAACTACCAGTAGAAGAGGCAACAGATGTCACTAAGAACCTGGGACCCAACAGTAGTTCTTTGGAGCTGAATGACTTGCAAGCTCACTCCATTTACCAAGTAGAGATTGCTGCTGTGACTGATGCTGGAATTGGGGTAGCGCACACCATCTTTTTAGGTACTGCTGCATTTCTGGAAATTTTGCCCCTTAATAAGTCATGAAATGAGCTACATTTTTAACAGGTCTTTGAACGATTAAATCTACAATGTTGCATTTGTTCTTCTCCAAAATTAAATATGTGCGCTTGTTTGCTCAATTTCCAATGGAGTTATAAAACGCTTGCGCTTGAATTATCCAATGACATTGCTTTTGTTGCTGTTTAAATGTCACCGTCGGCTTCCTGGGATACCTGCCACGAAGCTGAAGGAACTACCGACGTTAAATATTGTTACTTTACCTTTTTACCTTTTCCTAAAATTAACTTTCCAGAAACCTGTCGCTGTCCAAAGACTCTCTACACGAACTTCTGGGTCCATCCTCCCTACTTGAACCAAAACACCAGTACTGGTGTCATTGATGGGATCTTCCCCAACATCGTGACCCAAATGCTAACTTGGGCCTGCGGTGTTTGTAACAACGGGCATGGAGATACGATACTAAATATGACGTCTAATGGGAGAGATATGACGTCATTAAAGGACAGTGTCGTTGGGGTAATAGAAGACATTGATGATGTTCCACAAGTCAGTTTTCCAATCTATGGGAACGAAGATATTAAAGAGTACAAAGGATCACATCAATATGTAAAAGTAGTAGACTCCCCTGGAATAGCATTTATCAACGTCCGACAAAAACCCAAAGTGATGAACTTAGCATTGGCTTGCTTACCTCTGATTGGTTTTGTTCTGTGTATAACGTATATCTCTGGTTTCATCATGTGGTTATTGGTGAGTAAGCTGAATATGTGCTGTTTTAAAGTCTTGTAGAATTACCTTATGGCAAAGCTTCAAAGATTTCATAATTTGTTTTGCTTCATTGTTATTTAATTGCCAACCAGAAATTTATTGGGCAATCCAGTTATGCAAAGTTGTAACGAAACTTTCCTTTGAAATAGTCTGAAAACAGCAATCCACTTGTTGATAATAGACCCCTTTACTTCGGGCGTTTAATTGTTTAAAATTTTTGACCACGTGTCTTTATCTTGGGAATATTTATTTTTGGCATCTATTGATACACGTGCAACCATCAAATATACTTAGGAGAATGACATGTGGTCTGAAATGGAAGAAAACAATGTGCCCAAGATAAAGTTGTTTGTATACCTTCTTACCTTGGTGATACTTTTTTCCGTCTAGCTATGAAGACTTTTTTATAACTCTGTTTTGACAAAATTTTTCCCCAATTTCACCATGTGATTACCTATGCTACACATTGCATTTTTTTTGTAGGAGAGGAAATCAAATAATGGACAGTTTCATGAAAATTTTTCAAAGGGAATCATTGATGGGTTCTGGTGGTCATTTATCTCCATAACAACCGTAGGGTGAGTAACAGTCCATCACCATGACAACTACATCATACTATTTAACCACAATAATAATCATAAATTTATACTAATAAGAAGCATGGCAATTATTTTAAAGAAAATAGTATTCATGAAATGAAATAACAAACTAATTTCCCCCCTAATGTAACGCCTTAAAGTCGTTGCCTACCTTTTTCTCATAGGTATGGCGATCGTGTACCCGTTTCGAGGCTGGGCCGACTGTTTGGGGTTTTCTGGATTCTGACTGGCTTGGTAGTCATCTCTGTTCTTATAAGTGAAATAACCAATTCCTTTACCACCCTTTGTATGTCGACCACTTACAACGATCACTTGATTTATGGAAGTAAGGTAATGTTTACCACCCTTTGTATGTCGACCACTAATAATGATCACTTGATTTATGGAAGTAAGGTAATGTTTATAACTATCCTTTGTATGTCGACCACTAATAATGATCACTTGATTTATGGAAGTAAGGTAATGTTTATAACYATCCTTTGTATGTCGACCACTAATAATGATCACATATGATGTATATAAGGAAGGTAATTTTTACCACTCTCCTACTATGATCTTGTATTTACTTTTCTGATGATTATTTTTTAAAAGGGGAAAAATGGTTCTGAAGGTAATTCGGTGGTGCGGTTAAAACCGGACCGACCGTACTGGTGGCAACTCCCCTGCCTTGGCAGGAAGTGTYCCATAACATGTCTTGATGTTTCACTTGTTACAACCGTAACATCATTTAATGACACATTGACTTTAACCATGTGCACTACCGCTGGTCATAAAGAAATTTAACCTACCTTGCCTTCCAAAAAAATAATCTCTTTTGTTGACTTAAGGTTCACTTGTTTGTTTCAGTAACTTTTTAATAATCAGAAAGCTTTGTTCCCCCCTTCAGATTGCTGTCATTAAAAATTCGGTCGAATATAGAGTGGGAACACAGATGAATGCAATCATAGACAAGGGTAGGTAATATTGCAAAATCATTGTCCAGTTCAAAACATAGAACACTGAAGCTGAGACCAAAAGGGTATGCTAAAATAGGAATGACACAGTCGATATAAAACATGTGTCAAAAGCCACCATGCTATCCGTCAGTGCAATAATTCACGATGTGCATTCCACAACGAGTTGTATCCCTAGATACACCTTATGAAGGTACTTCTTATGTGACATTCTGGTCTCAGCTTCTGAATTCTTACCCAACAATCCCTTTGCAATTGAGGCTCCATTAACTATGCTTAACAAATTGATTTCAATAAAGCATTGATCAAAGAATCCAAATAATCATAAATATTATTTCATTTCTTTTGTAACCATAACCAGAATACCAATATTACAGTATAGATGATATCCATGATGCTTTGCAAAATGGTAACGTCTTTGGTGCATTGATTGACACCTACGTAGCCGCTGACCAAAAAGATCACTTGTTTGACGAGAACATTAAAGTGAACAAACTGCTGGAGAAGAAGATCGGTTACGGTGTTGTTTTGTCTGGGGACGCTAAAGTCGTACAAAAGAGATGTAATGATTTTATGAAAAGAAAAGTTGAAGAGATTTCCAAGGTTATACAAAACTACACAAGCACTCTAGAGGTAGGGGATTGACAAATTGTGATCATGTTGACTGCGCATGCGTAATCGTTACTAATTGCTGTCAAAATCAATTAGCTCATTTTACCTTAGATTAGCTCAAGTTGATATATACAAAATCAATATCGTACCCAGAGACTGCGTTTCTTCTGGCCTGTGGCGAAGAACAAGGGCTCTGGCACAATCCATTTTTTGAGACCAGGATTTCTTGGACTTCCGAAATAAGACCGCAAAACGTTCAAAAGCTTGCTAAAAATACGTTCCCGATTTCTAATTTTTATTTTGATCGGAAGTCAATACACAACTCTGTTTTAAAGCATGATTTTCACTGAGTATATCTAACTTCCGAAAAATTGCGCATGCGCCAAATTTTTTCCCGCCAACTTCACGCTTTCCGGCTGTTCGGTCGTAAATTTGCATACATAATTCATCGACATTTCGTAAGAGGTATGTTAGCCATACTTCCTTAGGTTTAAAATAGAAGGAAGCGTAATATAAAAATAGCTTTGTTGTGACATTAGCCCCTGTGTGGTGAAGGAGGGAGGAGGACTCACACCACATTTAGCTCATTAAAGAAACAAAGATTAAATCCAAAGACGCCTGCAAATGAGTCTATTTCGTATGTTGGGGCTAATCCTCAACAAGGGTATTCCGAAGTTCCCGCGTTCCTATGTTTCTATTCTACGTTTTCTGCATAAATGTCCCGCAATCCTTTGCGCGGTATATGGTTTACACGTGCTTGAAGTAGTTTGCCGTACTTGTATACCGTGGTGTCAATTCGGTGAGGTTTTTGTACTGTTTTCCTTTTTTATTTCCCTTCATACATTGTAATTTTAGATTTAAATAATTTTAGGTTTCACCGGGCCTTTTCCCTAGCCTGTTTTTTCGTGGTATTGGACTGGTTTGTGTGAATAAAGTTTAGCCTTTAAACTATGCCCGTGTAGAGCCAAATCGACACATAATCCCTTCGAACCAAACACGCTACTTCATCGTATTCCATAATCATCCTCTATGGCTAACTTATTGAGCTCTTTACATAAGTTTCAGCCCCCTGAAGAGAACGAATCTACAGAAAAGAGCAGCAATTTGTTTGAAGTCGAATCTGCCACATTCAAAATGGCATTGCTCTGCCTAGGGCTCTTACTGTCGATGGCTGTGATTGGTGGATTGATTTTGCACGTGATTTTGCTCAAGCGACGAACAAATAAGGTCGACAGAGGTATGGACATGCGCATGATTAAACTAGAAAAAGTAATTTAAAATGTTATAGTGGGAAGCAGATATTCGTAGTGAAATGAATAATGAAATGTGAATAATGAATAATGAACTATAATGAAAAAATAAACGGCATGAAAAGGAAGCATTTTTGTATTTTCAAGCATAAAYGTTAACAAAATGTCGATGGTTTAGCGTTGTACACTGTAAAATCAGTCTGGCTGAAACAACAAAGCTAATTACGTTAAAACGCTGAAGCTGAGAGCACCATGCCAGTTTTAATTTCGTTGTTTTAAAAGGTTCGTAAATTAAGCCAATATACTTTTGTTTGTAACTACCGAAGATATTGGTTCTCCTTTTTGTTTGTAATAACCATTGTTTTAAATGTTGTTAATATCCACCGCACAACCAGTGAAAAAAAATCTTATTTGAGCAAGAACTTTGAAAGATTTCTTATAATAGATATGGATTCCAAAATGAACAATTTATATTCCACAGCTCATTCAAGACAGGTTGTGATAAACATGAGGAACGAAATGCGACAATTTGTCGATGTGTTTTATCAAGACATCAAGGCTAAGATAAGTGATTTAAAAGTAAAGCATCGCCAGGAAATAGCAAAACTCGTTCAATTGAAAGAAAAATAGCAAAGCCGATTTCGTACATGTCACAAGTTATAATTCTTAAAATATCGACATGACTTTTCCAAGACTTTTCCATGACTTTTCCATCGGACATATGGCTTTTCCATAGAAACTGTGATTGAACTAAAACAATGCCGGCTGGAATTTAAAGATGTAAGAAAAAAAGACCTAAAATAAATATTAATACTGGGGTGCTTGCCATTTACCAGGAAAAACTGGAATTAAGATTTGAAAAACAATTTGTTCGGAATGTTCCAAAAAAATCCATCTTCCAATTGAGATAACGCACTTTTCCCGCCCTCTTAGGCTTTTACGGAAGATAGACACGTGTACCATTTGCTTGTTACACGGGGCGATTCGCAACGACGATATTTTTGGCGATAAGCCGTTGCTCGAAAAATTGATGCCGTGTAACATGTCACGTGCGACGATCCATGGATTCGGCAACGCGTTATAAGATTTTTGATTCAGCTTCAAATACTCATAATGGCGATTTTGTTGCAAGTTGATTCGTGTACTAAACAGCTTCATCAACGATTTTTAGCGCAACGTATACCCAAAATGCAGTTCAATACTCTCATAAAAGCGAGGAGATGTCGACAAACAAGATGGCGGCTTTTAAAAAACGCTTGCAATCGTCCCATGTAACATGTTGATTTTCGAACGAACGCGAGAAGCTGATTAGTGTAACACCTATTAGAAATCGACAAGTCATATCGCGAAAAATAGTCGTTGCGAATCGTCTCGTGTAACATCAGTTTTGCCATTAGCTAATTAGCAAATTAGCAAATAAATGGATTGGTGTAAATGGTAAGCACCACAGGTTTACATATAGGCAATCGCTGTACACATTTACCAATGGTTTTGCACACGTGATTTGTAAATAGCCAAAAGTAGTGTGTGGAGAAGCCATAGGCCATAGTGCTTCTCACACTTCTTGAGTGCTTACAGCGCTTTATTTCTGATGGAAGCACGGAAAAAGCTGTTTTATTCGTTATATTATATAGTTACTAATTTTATTTCGCTATTGAATTTATTTACGCAAAAAGAAAGACGGCCACTGGCTGTAGCAGCACTTCACGCGCACGGATGGCGTCAAAGCAAAATTTCGACCACTTAGTGCGCGCGTACTATCCTTACTTTATAATAAAAGAATAAGGCACTGAAGAAACACACTAACCTAGTTCACCTAACTGATATATAATAATTCATAAAATTAAACTCGGCTTCAAAGAAGCATTTATTATCGATAAACAGCTGCAAAACAAGATTGCGTAGCAGCAAAATGATGTTGATAAATTATTAAACTCAGAAGAATATTCTCTTGTTAAACTTTTATCCAAAATCTACTCGATCGTTTTCTCAGATCCTAAGCTCTGCGTGAAACAACGCTTTATGGCTGTTGGTATATGAAACTGCTAAATTGTTTTCCCTGGTTCTCGACCGGTGACGACCAGGGTTACTCCGCGAAAACTGCAAGCGTAGGGTCTGGGAACAAAAATACCTTTAACATTACAAATATTTAATTGCAGCCGAAATTCAAATATTCTAAATTAATATTCTAAACTACTAAACAAACTTTGCCTTATATTTGTAGCATGAGTTTTTAAGGGAAATATGCATCTTTTAATTCCCTTTTAAATTTGATATCGGGTTTTTGGCTTTCATCAATCGAAAAATGCTGACATAAAAATAAAATAAAAAATCGTCCTAGACTTATGAGGGTAGCCATGATGAAATTGGAATTTAGAACTGATTTTTACCAAGGGAGGTAAACCGGAAAACCCGGAGAAATAAAACCCTCGAAGCACAGAAGAGAAATGAGCCGAGCGCATTCATCGCTACGCCTCCCATGCTTCCCATAAAAGAGGTTGTTTGAGTCGCGCTTATAAATATGGGCCGGTATGAATCCTGGTATGAAGGATAAAAACTAATATGTAAAATCCAACCATTGATATATAGAAATAAAGTTCAAGTTCAAATTCAACTTGGAGCCATTGTTTGCGGTTACCCATGAAGCAAAGTCGGGAAAGGCGTGATTTATTCATAATAATATATAATTTATAATAATAGTAATTTAGCGTCAATATACAATTATAGCTATAATAATATTATTCAGAATTCTTTAGCATACGCGCACTTAATCATTTTGAAATAAAAAGAAAAAAATGTATATATATAAGAAAAAAATGGGTAGGAATATTTTTATATTCTTTTTGCCTCTATTATCATTTTATTATCTTTTTATTGCTGTGTTTATATTATATTTCTTTTTTTTTCTTTTTTTTTTTTCTTACTCAATCTTTTTGTGAAATATTTTTATTATGCTCTTTGCCCTTTTCTTTTTGTCTTTTTTAATGTGCCCTCAATAGCCTGGGGCTATGGAGATTAACACGATATCAATACGAAAATCACTTAAACCCTCTTGAATCCGCTTAATTCTTTTTAAAGAAAGACCTCGTTTTGATAGCATCTTTCTTCTTTTCATTTGGAAGCCAGATAAGTTGTAAACAATTCTAAATAGTTGCAGGAAATCCTTTGTCCGGGTACTGTGAGCAGTAAAAAATGTTCATTTGGCAAGTGTTGGTGGTTTTGACGTGTTTCTCTTTGAACAAAGGTAAGCAACGGACAAAAGCAATGGGCTTTTATGCATTTATGTAAGGACTAAAATCTTTTGAATCGTGTTTTACGATTTCTTTACACTAAACGAACTACTGAAGAAAGCGTCACAGTCACCCTCATGGGAGCACCAGCTATTTAAGCTGTCGATTTAGTGTTGCATACTGGTAAAGAAAACTACAGAGTTAGGTATTCTACTAAAGGTCATTTTGATCACACAGCGCCCATTATTCGACCCGACGCACTTTTGTCTTTGCAATGTTTCAACTTTTTTTAGGAATTTTTGTTGTTAGGAATTAAAGAAATGTAATTCTTATTTTGATTCTGTGAAGCAAATGAAAACAACACAGCTGTCCTGCTCAATGAGAGTTTATTTCCATTGTAATATAGGGGATTTCTTTGTCCTAACTGTGGATGTTTAAAAAATAGAGTGAAAAAAACAGCGGTATACATCGAATGCGAAACTGGTGTATTGTAAATCGTTCATTCATTCATTCATTCACTCTCTCAGTCACTCTATCACTCACTCACTCACTCACCACTGACTCACTCACCACTGACTCACTGACTCACTCACTCTCTCACTCACTCACTCACTCACTCACTCACTCACTCACTCACTCATTCATTCATTTACTTATTTATTTATTTATTCATTTATTTATCTATTTTTTCAGTTGTGGATTGTGATTGCAGCAAAAAGAAATTCGTAACAATATTTTTGGATATTGGAGGTTATTACAAGTACGATGGTTGTTCAAATAATATTGATAAGAATGACTGGTAAGTTTTCTCCCAATACTGACGTCAGTTAATTGAAAGAATTAATAATAATTTGACTATCTTTTAAAACCTTCTTTAAAAAATCTAAAACTAGTACTACAACGATGAAAACTGATGTTTTGTTTTCAAAGAAATGTTTTCTTCCGGGTAGAAGCAGTTTTTCCCATAGGTTAACGAGAAATACCTTTAATCACTTTCGACGCAAATACGCGAATTTCGACATGAATAAAAATAAACAAAAATACGTTGCAACATACCTTTATGTTTAGAGCGTAAACATCAAACAAACCTCGAGAAAAACGGAGACTAAAAGCCAGGTTTTGAGCGTGCAGGAGTTTTCTAATGCTTATTTTTTGTCAGTTGCTTCATTTCACCCTAGCTGATGATGGGCCATAAGGAACTCAAAGCTCGGTTATTTAAAATATTAAAGGTTGATGAAACACGATACACGAGAATTTACCCTCCATCCAATCAAATACCCAGAACACGGCATGATCAAGATGCGGACACGATCACGCCAAGGTCACGGCAATGCCAGACCAATCACATTGCGCGTAAAAAAAAATCAGCCAATTGAAATTCTAGAAAGCATCACGGTCACGGCACATCATGCTTACGGCACTGAGCTTTTCACAGTCATACGAAAACTGCTCTATACGATGAACGAAAAATTTCCCAAAACTGCATGAAGTATGAAGAAATTGCTTGTATTTGTAAACAAAACACGAGGTTTAAGTGTCTAACCCTTTTAATATTCAGTCCGAGTACACTGCGATACACGATATTAATGAAACGACTAAATTAGAAGAAAATCTTTAACAAAGAGACCCAAAATTAGTTAGATTCATCGTACTAAGAGAAAGGAAATAAAATTACTAATAGTTTCATTCAATATATTTGAAGAAAATAATCATCCTTCACTGACAAAGCTGCACACACAGAACAGTACAACTAATTAATTAATATTTTACAACTACGTCCAAGCTAAACAAGTAATTTTTTGTTTTCAGACTTCGAAACATTGCAAAACACCCAAACTTTCATCAGTTTTAAAATTCAATTATTTTGTYTCTTCTTAAGACATTTTAATTTCAAGTTTTAATATCTTGAATTATTATTTTTATATAACCAAAAAACTATGATTTCTATTGGTTGTTGTCAATAACACAGACTTTCTAGAACTTCCGCTTGAGCTTTCCAGAAGATTCTAATCAAGAGTAGAAGGAAATTGTTCTTAATGAGCATGAACGAAAATAGTAAACTTAACGAAATTCAACATTTGCTGCAAAGACGTTTATACTAACATCGCATGTCGGTTTTCCAAGTAAAGGAATAATACATACTTTACGAAAAAGCAAGAAACATTAAAACTTAAAGCTTGAAAGGACCAAAATTAATTTGTACCTAAAGTTTAAAAAAATATTAAAATTAATACTTTTCCTTTAATCATGTTTCGAGTTTAACATCATCATAAGAATTTATAACATACAAAATGGCTTAGACCTATCCAAATTACCAGTTATTAGCATTAAAATTTAAAAGTTAAAATTGCAATTGAATAATTTTTTTTGGACTTTCTTGAGTTCTTTTCTTTCTTGCTTTCTATCGCTCAGAGTTGGTTCAGAAACTCTTTTCGCGATTGCATAGTCAATTAAGTATGGCTTACGAGAGAGAAAAAGAACCCCCAGAGGATTAAGAAGCCAGAAAATTAAAAATTAAAAAAATATGAATATGATAATGAATGCACATATTATATCTCTTGGCGTGCTTGAAACTTTCTAAGTGTTCACTAACGGTCCTGTTTGAGATAAGAGCTATCAATCAATCCTTATTTGGTACCACATTTGCAAAATTGCATAAACTAAACAACAAAAATCCTGAAAATTGGTACGAGCCAGCTGTAATAACTATAGGCTAAAACATTTAGAGACTCTGCTTTTGCATATGGATAACTCAAGTGACGTCAGAAAAACATGTGACAACGTTTTCGATTCACATGAAAAATTAAGTTGAGAATTAGAAGAAACAGAAACGAGCTATAGTTGCCTCCATCTCCTTATTCCTAAAACGTTTTAGTTTTGGTGCAAGGTAATTAACCTTGTTTAGTCTTGAGGCATAACTGTCCATCCCCAGTAAAGATATGGTGTGGTTGGCAATTGGTTATCGACTAGGGATTGTTTTGGCAAGTTTTACATGGATAAAAGGTAAGTCGATTTGCCATAATCACTTTCAAACATACTTGCCTATAATGATATGAGAAGATGTCCAAACGTCGTACTATTTTCTCCTGGTATTTGTTGTTCAATTTGCCATATCTTTATAAGAGAAATTAGTAAATATTAAAGATAAAGTTTTTTCTAAATACAGCAACTTCCTGTGATTTCCTTTCTAGGGTCTCTAAACTTGATAATCCTTCAATAAATAGCCATTAAATAAATATATATATTATCAAAATGTAAGTAACTTTTTATTTAATTCCGAATCCTTGGATTTCCAGTCCACAATCTTGGATGTTATTCTTGATCATTTCTAATTTCAAAAACTCTTCATATGTATAGTTGCCGATTTGACGTCTTCGGCTTTTTTCAGAACTAAAGCCGCTTCGTAGGCCATAGAGCCGTATTGATAGAATCATCAAAAGAAAGGCTCGAATATTTATAACAATAATGACTGTTGCTAACGTGTTAATCTTAAGTCATATTTACTTTAAAGTAAACATCTTCCCGAATGGGATTCAAACCGCGTTGCTGAAGGAACTACCGTTGTCTAAACTAGCTACTTCAATCAATCAATCAGTTTATTCAATCTACCTTTCTGGATATATAGTAACAAGTATTCAAAATTCTATTAACAATAATTGTACAAATATGTAATAAAAGAAATAGTGATTGCAGATTTTATAATTGAATGTATATATATCCAGAAGGAAGACACCTAAAGAAGAAACCATAGGCTTATATTCTTGAGGCGTCTTATATAAGCTTAATTAAACTTCTACCTTGTAGCTGCTAAAATAGTTGAAACTTTTGAGTAAAGCTCCCAAAAAGTCTTTAAATAATGAATGGTTATTAAAATAGGTACTAAAATTAAGAAACAAGAGGTATATATTAGCGTGGAGTCAAAAATGAAGATTTGTTTTATTTTTTGAATATCAAAAAAATGTGTCTCTCGGCTGAAACATATTTAAATCTAAAGTAAATGAATGAATTTTATTAAAGAAAGAACGATCCTTTTTGAGACCACCAAAGTGTTCTTGAATATGTACCTAATGAGTCTTTCAGCGATCTTTGCAGTTGATCTGACCTTTTTATAACTAATTATCTCATACATAAACAGTGCAGACACATTTGTTTATACGTTTTGAAATTGTTTTGAAACTTATAAAAATAAGTGTGAATACTTTTGATATCAGAAGCATATAGCTACTCATATAGGATTACCCTGACGTTTTATTCAAGTTTAACTGTGTCTATCTATCTACGATATAAAACCGATGCAGGACGACAGATGCCTTTTTACATATGTATATCATTGATGTCGACATTTGTAATATTATTGTCAATTAAAGTAGTAAGCCAAAACTTTCCATGTATTTTTAAAAAATTGTTTAAATGTACTTCCCAATTGTATTTCTTACGGTTGGTGTTTCAAATAACTTAAATTTTACCAAGATAGCATTATTCGTGACAAGTTAAAGTGTTGTTTTTTTTTAAATTCAAGTGATCGGTACCAGCTTAATATGAATATTAATGTTGTAAAGTGTTAATAGTAGTTATACTTGCAAAAACACTTCAGATGCATGACGAAATGCATGTATGGAATTAGAAAAGCAAGCTCCCTCAAGCTGTAACTGGAGAGAATCCGTGAAAAGGGCAAATTAAGTTGTGCAGTAAATTTCGATATCAAGGTAAAAAATAAATTTTAACTATGAAATGATCTGCCAAAAGCCGATTAAACTAAGTAAAAATTWAAAAAAAGCTGTATTTAGCACTGAACTCTAGCTTCATCAATATCAATTCGGATATTTAAGCGAAAAATAAAACAAAAACAAAACCAAAAAGGAAAAGAAAAACTGAAAGAAAAAAGGAAAAAACAATAGTCGGAAAAAATCAGCCTCTTTAAAATCCAAAATGCCACGGGTACAGTGGAAAATCTAGCTCTTCTTGCAGATAGATATCTTTATAGGTACCGGCAAAATCACCAAACATTATTATTCGCTTCAGGGATCCGACCTCTTAGTTAAGGGCATCTAGATATCACGGACATTTTTTTTTTTTCTGTCGACCTTTCGGTTTCCGTATTATAGAGGTTCCACTGTATATTGTTGTCTGCGCAACGGGCAATTACAACTAGCTTGTATTGCCTCGTTATTGGCTAGACTTCTCAACAGCTAGAACGTTCAATATAATTCATGAGGGACTCAGTTTTAGCAATATTTTGAAAGGTACTATTATCATTAATGTATATCCCTTTATGAAGAGAAATTATGCCTTGTAATATGACTGCCACTGTGCGACCGTATATGTGCGGCAGTATATCTTAATGAACGTAATGTTGTCATATACTGAAATCAAACCATTTCTGTTGACTTGCCCTGAATGAGATAATTTATGAACGTACTCGCCTCTAGCAGACAATACTCAAAACTTAGATTAGCATGATGCCTCGTTTAGTTAACTATGAAAAACAAACAGAATTGGAAACAAATGTTTTTTCTTTTAATTAAATCATTAACAGTATGAAGCGAAATATATTTCGAGTTGAAAGATGGCATAGAAGAAAAACGTTGAGAACTAATGGTTACCATGGCAATATTACTCCTAAAATAACACAAGTACTGGGTTAGTTCTGATTATGCTCACAAGCCGCCAAATTACTCATGTAATATTATAATTAAAAAGAGAAGGACAATATTATATTGAGAGGTTTTTCTCGTTTATTCTTGTATGCCTTTCATTCCTTGCTTTCTCTTTTGTCATAAGAATATTGGCATTTCTAAGACATGATTCCATGAAACATTATAAATTGTTATATAGCTACAAAATTTTCCGATATAACGAACACTCTCATTGGTTGAATGACCACGTGACACTAGCTAAATCTAAATGTATCCTGACCGGGAAATGAGTTGCACGTGACATGTGACAGGGGCGGCGGAAGCTGAAAAATTTTGGGGGGGCACTCCAATATTTCACGGTA